CCAATACTTGTGTTGCTGAGAGGCAATAATCAGTGCCCATTTATGTTCTCGGAGAACTCTCTGCTCAGCTCCTAAAGCTTGAATCCTGGGGAACCAGGGAATGCAGTGACCCTGGCCGCATGCGAGTCCTGCACCTGTGAATAGCTTGAGGAAAGCACCCCAGGGGGCAGGGCTCCTGGTTAGAGCTGGCGGCTGTGCCCTAGAGTCACTGCCTCTTGAAGCTGCTTTTTGCCATTATAAACTGGAATCCTTTTCTGCCCCGGAAGCCACAGGAGGAATGTACTGCTCTCCGAGTACAGGCCCCCCGGGGAGAGTGAGTGATGTCCTCGCAGGTACTTGATTCCGGGAATAAACAGAAAACCCTAGTGACTTTGAAGCTAGCCACAAGCTTGGAGTCTAGACATTGAAATCGCAGGTACTTCCAAACCTTGTCTTGTCTACCAGCCACATAGTAACATCCCATTATATCCCAGACCTTGTATAGGCGCTCACCCATCAAACAAGCCGCAAGGCACACAACATAGTATGGTGACCAGGTAACTATCCCACTGAGTGAACTAGGGTGCTATTACGACTTACCTGGGTGGTTTGTGGGAAAACTGGGGTGTATGGTCACCCTAACTGTTGTACTTCAATGACAGACAAGGGCCAAATGGCTTATAAGTGAGCTAGGGTGTTAATTATGCTCTTTCCCGCACCTTCGATTGTATCACATAGTTCCCAACCATCTTTTTTTCTCCTTTTACCCCACTTTTCATGACTTGTGGATTCCCATTGTAGATGTGATGCTAGTGAATGGCTTATGCTGCCTATCTCTGGGTAACAAGTGCCTTAGTGTTCAAGTCTGGGGATGAGATGTAAAAATCTACATAACGTAGTCAGGGAATTTAGCACCTTTTTTTGTGTGTGTTAATCCTCACCTTAGGATATTTTTTCCATTAATTTTTTTAGAGTGCAAGGGAAGAAGGTATGGGGAGAGAAACATCGATGTGAGAGACACATCGATTGGTTGCCTTCTGCACATGCCCTTGGTCAGGGATTGAACCTGCAACCCAGGTACATGCCCTTGACCAGGAATCGAACCTGTGACCCTCGGTGTGTGGGCTAATGCTCTAATCATTGAACCATACTGGCCATGGCTTATGTACCCTTTTTAAGCTCTGGAGTTGCTATTAGTTTGACCAACTAATGAATAAATGATTTACAGTGGAGTGCTCAAGAATTTATGCTTTTTAAAAATTTTTGATTTTAGAGGGGGTGAGGGAGAAAAAGAGAGGTTTGGTCTTCCACTTATTTATGCATGCTTTGCTTGACTGAGGATTAAACCTGCAACCTTGGCATATTGGGATGACACTAACTAATTAAGCTACCTGGCCAGGGCTCAAGAATTTATGCTTAAGGTTTGTTTAACTCTGGGCCTCAATGTTCTTGGTGATAGATGTTGGAATGCCCCTGCTCTCTGCCCTGATGACTCACTCCTCTCTCTCCCTGCAGTTGCCTCTGGGGATGAGCACAGGGAGAAGGTTGATCTGGTCACCTACTTTGGGAAGAGACCGCCAGGCGTGCTGCACTGCACAACCAAATTCTGTGACTACGGGAAGGCTGCCGGGGCGGAGGAGTACGCCCAGCAGGATGTGAGTGCTCCTAAGGGACATGGGTGGAAGTGGGGAGGGGCAGGGCTCTGGAGGTGGTACTGGCTTAAGGCAGGAAAACAAGATGGCAGCTCAAGAAAAATGAAATCTGCTCCAGCTCACCCCTATGCACGGCTTATTGCACAGACCTCAGGCGCCCTTTCTGAGGCCCGCCTGGCAGTGGTGCCAGCGTGCGCATTTGTCCTAGGTCTGCCCACCAGTGCTGGTTTACCTGTAGGTTAATGGTTGGGAGCAAACTCCTGCTCTGGCCTCTAAGCCTCCATTTAGTCTCAAAGACTAGGAGTCCCGTGTCCTGAGGGAGGCTGGTGCTCTGAGGTTTCTGTCCTCAGGTCTGAGGCCTCGCCTTGTCCCCAAGTAACAAGTGTCCTGGAATAATGAGGTTTATTGGCTTGGGGGTACCCGTTCCTTCCTCACCTCACAACTGGTATCCTTGCCCACAGCGACATGGTGATCTCTTGCTGGGATATACATGGCTGTCTCTAGCCTCCTGCAGGTCACCTCAGCAAGGCCTTCCCTGACCCTCCACCATCTCCCCCCACTTCTCTGCCTAAGTTAATGTAACCAGTTTACTTGTGTGGTCATTGGTCTCTTCCCACTGAAATAGAAGCCCCCTGAGGGCAAACGGTTTTTATTTGGACTCACCTCTTCCCAGCACCTAGCCTACTTCAAGAATAAGTATATATTGCCCTGGCTGGTTTGGCTCAGTGGATAGAGCACTGGCCTGCTGACTGAAGGGTCCCTGGTTCGATTCCAGTCCAGGGCACATGCCCAGGTTGCGGGCTCGATCTCCAATAGGAGCCTGCAGGAGGTAGCTGATCAATGGTTCTCTCTTATCATTGATGTTTTTTTCTCTCCCTCTCCCTTCTCTGAAATCAACAAAAATGTTATATTTTTAACATGGTGCTCTCTCTGTGTATCTGTGTCTTCACATGCCCCCCCTTTATTTTTTAATATATATATTTTTTATTTCAAAGAGGAGGGGGGAGGGAGAGAGAGAGGAATGATGAGAGAGAATCATTGGTTCGCTGCCTCCTGCACACCCCACATTGGGAACAGAGCCCGCAACTTGGGCATGTGCCCTGACCGGGATTCAAACCACAACTTCCTGGTTCACAGGTCAACGCTCAACCACTGAGCAACACTGACCAGGCCCAACACTGTTCTAAGCTCTTCACCTAGTCACTCCTTTAACCCTCACATGGAGATGGGGTCTAGTGTTATTCCATTTTACAGATGAAGAAGCCAAAGGAGAGAGGTTCAACAGCTTGCTCAAAGCCCTGCAGCTAGTAAGTGGGGAGGGGGAGACTAGATTCTAAACACAGGAAGTCTGGCTTTTAACCCCTGGCTCTCTGGCAGATTGGTTTTTTGTTTTTAAATATATTTTTTATTCATTTCAGAGAGGAAGGGAGAGGGAGAGAGAGAGAAACATCAATGATGATAGAGAATCATTGATTGGCTGCCTCCTGAACAACCCCTACTGGGTGGGGATCAAGCTGGCAACCCGGGCATGTGCCCTTGACTGGAATCGAACCTGGGACCTTTCAGTCCTCAGGCGACGCTCTATCCATTGAGCCAAACCGGCTACAGCGACCTTGTTTTTTCACATTAGCCTCAACAGTCAGTGGAAAAACACTCCAACACCACACAGGCTGTTAGTGATATTTATGGATGATAAGCCTTTTACCAAAGGCTCTGCTCACTTGTGCTCACCTGCCAGACCCATGCTTCACAGCTGTCCTCTCTGGAGGCCACCACCTCTAGCTTGGTCCTCATTCTCATTCTCTGCAGGTGGTGAAGAAGTCTTACTCCAAGGCCTTCACACTGACCATCTCTGCCCTCTTCGTGACGCCCAAGACAACGGGAGCCCGGGTGGAGCTGAGTGAGCAGGAGCTGCCACTGTGGCCAAATGACGTGGACAAGCTGTCTCCCTCTGACAGCCTGCCCCGGGGGAGCCGTGCTCACATCACCCTCGGCTGCGCGGATGACGTGGAGGCCGTGCAGACTGGCATTGACCTCCTGGAGATTATACGGCAGGAGAAGGGGGGCAGCCGAGGAGAGGAGGTGGGTGAGACACCCCGGGGCAAGCTCTTCTCCTTGGGCAGTGGGCGCTGGATGCTGAACCTGACTAAGAATCTGAAGGTCAGGGCCATCTTCACGGGCTACTATGGGAAGGGCAAACCTGTGCCCACACAGGGCGGTCGCAAGGGGGGTGCCTTTCAGTCCTGCACCATCAACTGAGTGTTCTCACCACCCCTCGGGTGCCCCTCTTTAGAAGGGACGGGGGTGCAGAAGGAAGCATGCCCTCTGCTTGATCTTTTAAGATTTTTTTTTATTCAGTTAACCTTATAACCTTTTCAGAACTTGTAAGATAACTGCCCCTTTTTCTGCCTACCCTCTTCCTGTCTAATTCAAGCTCAACACAAAGGGGTGGGGGCAGGTACCATTCAGGAATCTGGACCAGAGCTGATAAGCTGGGCCGAGCTGGGCCTGGAGCTGCAGCCACAACCATGAGCCCTGTCCAGAGCTGGCTAGTGGGAGAGACCGCAGGGCTCCACGTCCCTTCACTGGTGGTGGGAATGAGAGGGGAGGATCCCTGGGCTTTGATCCTATTTCTTAATCAGTGTAGCCTCAGGAAGACTGAGGCTGCTTATCAGGGTAGAAAAGGGGTTAACCTTTTAAGTGCCTGTCCCTTCCTTCTTCACACTGTAACTAGGTAACAGTTTGATAGCTAGGAAAGAAAACAGATCAGTAAGCAGCAGCCACACCCCAGGCTGGCTGCTGGCCTCACCCCAGGAAGGGGATGGGGGGCCATCCTTCCCAGTGGTGTGGCCCTGCTATGTGATGGGGACCGAGGCCAGAGACAGTGCGTGGTGGGGAAGCTCCAGTCTTGCAGTCTGCCCAGCCCACCTTGCCTCCCTGGTGCCTCTGGAGGCCTCTGTGCCTCCTCTAAAGGGGGCTGGTGGGTACTAAGAGCCAATGAACTGGACTCCTGGCTGTTTAGGGCTAAGCCCCACCCAGTGCTTTTGAGAAGGGGTTAACACTGCTACATGGACTATGGTTCCTGGGGTGCCCTCCACTACCCTCTGCTCAGTAACAGAGCCTTGCTAATTAGGTTGTCACTTGACAAAAAGTGCTTGGGATTTGAGTTACCCACCTGGCTTTGCCCAACCTCAGTAACTTGTAATACTGATAATGAAATAAATCGTGTTAATCCTAGTGTGTGAGTCTCACCCTTCTGTGCCCAGCTTCTCTGCCCTGGGACGAGGGCTGGGGGTGTCTTTGTTCCACAGCTTGGGGCCATCGGTCCTGTCTCCCCACTGCTGGCCGGCCACAGCTGTGACGAGGCTGGGCAGCTGAACAGTGTTGGCTTTCATGAGGAGACAGAAAGGAGAGAGGCTGGTCTTAGACACACACAGAACGTGGGGGTTGGCTGGGTGTGAGGGATGCAGAGGACAGAGTCTCGTCCCCTGTTAACGACTAAAACAGGCCCACAGGTGTGCCCAGCCCAGTCAGAAACACTTCTCAGAAAAACAAAACAAAAACCCCAAACAAACAAAAAAACACATGAAAGACTTCTCAGAGAGGCAAGACCCCAAACTCCTAGTATGGATTTCCCCAGGCCAGTGGTGCTTCAAGCACAAGGGAGGGCCTGACTTTCAATCTCTTCCAACAACAGTCTGGACAGCTACACAGGGGAGTTCCTAGGCCTAAATCAGTCATCTCTTCACCATGGCCTTGGCACCAAACGGGGGGAGGACTGGAAAAGAATAAGGCAGGGGCTCGGAAAAGAAATCATGGTATCTGTTTGGTCCAAGGTCTGCTCCACCATCTCCACCACCAAAGCACCAAACGTTTCAGACGAAGACCCTAGTGTCTGCCTGGAAATCCCAACAAGATTCCTCACCACAAACACTAAGCCTGACCCGACCGGCATGACATGCGCCACGGCTTCCTTCTCCAGCTCGCTGCCCATGTAGAAAGGGCACCAGTGGAGAAGTGAGGGCATTTGCTAAGAACGGTGTTTCTAAGTGTGTTGGCAAATGTCAGCAACCAGATCCCTGGGCCCAGGAGGCAGGGTTTTACCTTGTCTCCATCTCCCTCAAACCTGCAAGAGGAACTGTGAGAGTCCACGTAAACCTCTGTGTAGGTTAGCCTGGCCTGACACACATCCACCCATGCTCTATGTGAGCTTTGGACATACAGAGCTTCTAGTGATTTCTGGTGGCCTCCACCATAAAGCAAGCATGTTTTCTGAACTCAGTACCCTCTGACTGACAACAGCCCGGGCCCAGCAGCATACCCAGCACCTGCGCAGCACTTCCATGCTGAACAGGTTTGGGAGAGGCAGCCAGCACCCCACCTGCCACCAGGCTCTGGAAGCCCACACCCCTGTGGGGCAGCTTGTGAGCCTGAAGACCACGTCAGCATTAGGTCGGTGCTGGGGGCTCAGCTCTGGCCCACTGACAAAGCAGCTGGCAGAGCAAAGAGCCAGAAAGGATCAAAACATTTTATTCTCTCTCTTTTTTTTAATAAAGTTAAACAGTAAAACAAAAATTCACAAGCTGCCTCCCTGTCCACCCCCCGCCTCCCTCCCCTCCCCGCAGTCTTCAGTGCTGGCTCCCTTTTCCTTCACCCCACTCACAGACACAGGGCATCCAACTGAGAAAACAAAACTGCTCTAAGTACATGGAGACATGATGAAGGGAGGAGGTGAATTGTGTCCACATTCAAGGTTAAACTGAGCAAGTCGGCATTTTCTGGATTCTGGATGGTTTCCTTTCATTAGCCAAATTGAAAAAAGAAATTCCCGGGACCAGATGCTGTAGGGAAAAAAGGGCTTGTTAGCTGACTGGATTTTCTAGGAAATATCACTTTGCTCTGATTATGGAGAAGTCTCCAAGGGCTGCTTCAAAGTCAGAGAAGAAGCTCTAATGGTATCAAACAGCCTGGGCCCTGGGGTGTAAGGGAGCACGAGCATGTTGTGAGTATGTGTGTAGCTTCTAACACCTCCCCTCTTGCAGACAAGCCCTGGTACCAAGTAGTTAGCAAAGCCTCCCTGACTCTGTGAAGGTGTGGCAATAAGGCAAGGTGTGCCCAGAAAGCTCCCTTTTGCTATCCTCAGCCATGCTGGAGGGGACAGAGGCCCCACTAGATGAGAATTGAGCTGCATCCAATCATGAGCCCCGTGATCAAAGGACTCCCTAACTGGGGGCTCCCAAGAACAGCAGGCATACCCACCTTCAAAGCTGAAGCCCCCAGGCCCACCGAAGAATGCCTTGAAGATATTGTTTGCATCAAAATCTGTGGGCAAGGTGAGAAACAAGGAAGGAACAAAAAGGTGAAAAAAATAGAAGTATTTGAGGGAGAATGTATCATGACACTGAGAATGGGTCTCCAAAGCTTTCCCAGATAGTATCACCGTCCCTCAGTTTCCCCAACTTCAGACTAGAGGCGAGGACATCTGCCCCACCCTATGCAAATCTTACCACTTGACCCCACTCCTGGGCTATGTTCCCTTCTGCAGCCCCAACCCCAAAGGAGAGCGTTCTTTGCCTCAGCCCACCATCTCCCAACTGTGCCCGCCAGTCCTTTCCATCTGCTGTCTTCCCTCCCTTGCTATTCTCTTCCTCTAAACCACCTGTTTGCTGCCATCACAAATGTATTTCCAGAGCCTAAATCTGGCCCATAACTCCCCTACTTAAAACTCTTAAATAGCTTTTGATGGATTATAGCTCCATTACCGGTAACCCTAGGTTTCTCTCTCTCACTGAACTGGAGAGGTCAGGGTTATCTATACGTCAGTATTAATCTTATTGTAAGTTCCAAACGTTTTTCTTAGTGAAGGAAAGCGGGTTGGCATCAGAGACAGTGGTCTGAGAAGTGGGCATAGTTCAAGGCCTCTCTTATCTCTGAGCTCAAAGTGAGCAATGATGTTGAGAGCTGTGCTTTACTTCATTCTAAGTCTTTTGGGGGAAAGTAAAATCTGTGCGTGCTTACAGGAATGTATGATGCAAATAAATATCCGAATACACTTTGTAGTAGGGGCAAAAGAAATTCCAGCCAATAGGAAAAGCCCATGATCCTGACTCCATCCCCTAAGGCCTCCTGAGGTCTGCTCCAGCTTCTCTCTCCACACTGCCTGCCTCGAGCACCCTCTATCCCTCAGAGCCCCTTGCAACACCCAAGGGTGGTTTACTTTTCTGCGCTTCCATGCCTTCCTTCCTTTGCTAAACTCACTCCCCAGTGCCCCCTGGGCACCTGCTACACTTAATTTCACTCGATTTCATGTCTATTAGATCAGGGGTCAGATTTGGTCTGCAGGCAGAAGTTTGCAAACCTCTAGACTGGGTTCCCGGAGGTCAGGGAACCTGTTTGATTCATCTTTATTCTTTCCAGCACCCAACAGGTGCCTCACATGCCACAGGTCTAGATCAATGGCATGCTTTACAAATCACTGCGGGCCACTGGCTGATTACAGTCTTTCCCCCTGGAGTGTCTTCAAAAATATCCTAAAATTCTACAGTTATCAGATGCATCCCAGGTTGCCCAAACCAACTCACCACCCATATTCATGCCCTCCTCATCCAGGTCCTGTCCACTGTCATAGCGAGTCTTTTTCTTGGGATCAGAGAGGATGGTAAAAGCTTCTCCAACTTCCTTGAACTTTTTCTCCTCCTCCTTCTGAACTTCGGCACTGGCTCCACTGTGCCGATCTAAAGGGGGGAGTACAGGGAACTCGTCTCAAAGTCTCAAGAAAGAAGTTAAAGAGAAAGACCACTTGATGTCTGACTTGAGATTTCAGTACTTCCCAAAATTTGGAGGGCACTGAACTTAGCAACACCTTCTTCCCAGTGAAGCGCCTCTCTGAGGCTTTCATTCTGGACTGAGTCTGGTACTGGGCCAGCCTGGCTTGCTCTTCCCACGGAGTCCACTCCCCACCGCCCTACCTGGATGGTGCATCAAGGCCCGTTTCCGATAAGCTTTCTTGATCTCGTCCTCAGAGGCGTTCTTGTCCACGCCCAGAATCTTGTAGTAATCTTTCCTCTGACTCTTCTTTAGTTCCATCTGTGCATTTTTAAGGAGTTGTTTGTGTTCTAAAGGGAGACATCTAGCATCAAGGACAAATCTGATCTGGCTTCCCCTACCAGGCCCCAGCCCAGATGTGGTGGAGTCAGAAGTCTTGTTAACTATACCAGGGGCTTTTCTGGTGTGTTTTCCCCCTAGGGATTAAAAAAAACCTACTCATACTTATCGAGTTTCTCACATCGGTCTCATCACAGAGAAAAGGATGTGAAGTTAACAGGCAAGATTTGGGACCAGAAAAATAGATGCCTCGTTCTACACTCAGGATTCTGTTCACTTCTTCCTGGCTGGTGATCGAATAAGCTCCAGCTACAATCATTATCCCTAAATCAAATCACCCGTGTCCAGTTCTTAGGGCCGACAAGTAAGGCCACACGGTTTCCTGAGAAGCATGCTCCCAAATACCTTTACCTTTTGTTTTCTCCGTCTGATACACCTTTTCATAGTCCCGCACTGCTTCTTCATACTGTTCTGTGTCCATGTAACTGAGAAGGAAATACAGGGCAGTAGAGTGACATAAATAGCAATGGCCTTCAGTATCACTGTAGAGGAAGAGGCATGGCTCAAGCATGAAACACAGACTTTTGGTTGAGATGCTTCAACCAAAGGAGTCCTTAAGCTAGCGTGAGAAAAAATTAACCACCACACTTCCTTGAGAAAAATAGAGAGGTCTCATGCCCCCTGCACCCAACCCGCAAGTGATAGTCTGCTCTGAGCAGAAAGCAACCAAGAGAAACTTCCTTTTGATCTCATAGAGCCACCAAGAGGCATCTGGCCTGCCTTAGGAAAGGCAATGTGAAAGCACCCATTTGATTACTTGAGATTAAAACACACGAGAAAAATTATCAAGTGAAATAAATGGATATGGAAGAGCTTTGAAACCTAGAGTGCCATAAACATGCAGGGCCAGCCTCAATCCAGAGTGGAGGTGGGATTAGTGAGCCACTAGAAGGATCAAGGTCAAGGTGGTGGCCACTGGCAAATGCTTTCATTAAGACCAATCAATCTGAGAGATCTAGGTGAGACAGAAAAGGACTCTAAACTTAGGCTTGCTTCCATTTGGATAGTGCAAAAGAAAGGAGGGGACCTGGCCCAAGATGGGAGGAATCTAGCTTTTGATAGGCCGACTGCTA